CGACCAGCTGGAATTGGCGGCGGGGGGTACTTAACCTCTCTGTGCCTCCACGTTCTCCTGGGTGAAATGGGGTAACCATAGGACCTACCTCCTAGGGTTCCCGCGGGGACTAAAGGAGAGAAATCATGCAAAGCTCTTACACGTGCCTGGCTCTCGTGTAAGCTGCAGTGACCACGATGGTTATACATCCCTCTAGGCAACAGAATACAAAGAGGATGATGAGAGCTATACAGAAGCATCGGCGGTCCAGTAGGAGGATGGACAAGTCAATAAATAGTGGCAGGTGCCCCGTGATGAGTGTAAGAACAGAGCAGAATTGGAGCTGTGAGAACAGAAAAGAAAGGGCCACCAGAGCGAGCTCCCCAGCAAGGCCGGTCCTTCCAGCTTGGCCCGCTTGCTCTCACCGTGCCCCGGGCTCCTCTGGCCTCCCGGTGCCCGGGGCTGTGTCTGAAGCTAGGCAGACGCAGGTAGTGCTGAATCAAGGCTCTTGGCCAAGGCAGTAATTGCCAGCCGCTGAAAGATATTAAGCGCCAGGGAGGAAAACAAAGTCCTCTATGAGGCAGACTTTTCAGAGTTCTTACAGCTTGTAAAAAAAAAAAAAAGTAAATAGTTACCCAGTGAGATATTATTTCCTGTTGTTGCCATTAGGGCTTGAGTGTCATGTAGAGAGAACCCATCATTCAGGCAATTCGGCCTCCTCGACGATGGAAAACTCCGCATTAACGCCACACAACGCACCTCCCACCGCTCCTCCCAGCCTGACTCAGGCGGTTTTTTTTTCCTGGGTGGCGAGTTTTATGTAAATTGAAATCGTGAAACAAAACTATAAATATTCAGAATTTCCTAAAGGATTTTCGTGATGGCTTCTGAGAGGTTGGTTTTTGTTGTTGTTTTTTTTTCCAAAGACTTATTTGAGTGGAGACCGGGGGAGGGGTGCCTTCACTTGAGTCGGGGGCTGGGCCGGAGGCTCAGATCCTCCAGGCCTGGGGCGACTGTTCTCCTGAGCAATCGCCCCACAGATGCAGACGACGCTATTGGTCACAGCTATCACTGACTCGGGACTTCTTTTGTGCCAAGCACTAGACGTGCGATATGCATCGTCTGGTTTGGCCTCCCTACCCTGAGGTGGTCACTGCTAGGTTTTTTGTTTTTTGCTTAGTTTTAAATATTTATTTCTATTTCTTTATTTGGCTGCATCCAGTCTTATTTGTGGCACGTGGGATCTTTAGCAGTGTAATGGGTGATTTTTTTTTTTTATTAAGTTGTGGCATGCGGGTTCTAGTTCCCTGACCCGGGATTGAACCTGGGTCCCCTACATTAGAAGCATGGAGTCTCAGCCACTGGATCACCAGGAAAGTTCCATACTGTTAGGTTTTATAACTGAGGAAATCAAAGCTCAGCGGGGTTACTTTGTCCAGGACCACAGCAGAAATGTGAGGCGGAGGCCTAGGTCCCAGAGACCTAACTCCATGAGGACTTGTCACCCACTGGTCAGTGACCTTTGGGTAAGTGACTAACCTCTCCATGATATACATGGGAATGACAAAGCTACCTGAAGCTTATGGAGAGCCTGAAACACAGAATGTAACTCTTCACCACATTGGCAGGGGGGATGCTCAAGCAGCCCCACCCTGTCCGACTATCATGGTGCCCTCCCTCAAAGGGCAATCTGGGAAGGGCCTCTTAGCACACAAGAACCACTTTTCTGCAAGGGAAGCACTTGGGCCCTGAACAAGACAGTGTCTCACATGGCCTTTTTAGCCACACCCCATCAACTGCAATAAACACAGCCCAACTGAAAACTTCTTTTAACCTTATTCTCTCCCAGGTGACAAGTTATTCCTTTGAAAATGGCCCTTGCAACAGGCTACTAGGACCCCATTTAGGACTCTGTAGAGGTTAGCATTTCAGCTAAGTGAATATCAATTACCGATTGTAATAATCCTCTAGCATCTTTTAATTAGGACTTCCCCAGTGGCTCAGTGGTAAAAAATCCACCTGCCATGCAGGAGATACGAGTTCAATCCCTGGGTTGGTAAGATCACCTGGAGAAGGGCATGGCAACCCACTCGAGAATTCTTGCCTGGAGAATCCATGGACAGAGAAGCCTGGTGGGCTACAGTCCATGGGGTGGCAAAGAGTCAGACACAACTTAGTAACTAAACAACTATCTTTTAATTAGGCCTCTGGCCTGGCTGAGTATGATTTTCCATTTTCCCAATTAAGGTGATTGGATGGATCCAGCCAAAGGGACCCCACTTTGCTCATCAGCACCCCAAAAGGAAGCACGGCCCAGCCCCTTGCTAGCATTTTCCAGGAGAAGGGAAACAGAGCTAGTCTCCACCAAAGTGCTGTCTGGCATCCCCAGTTCCTAGTGATGAGCTGTGAGCTAAGGGAGCAGGGTTTTTTGATGACAATATGGGATTCCCTGGGCAAACTCCCCACCCTTCACCCCAAGCCTGGTCACCTTGTCCTCACCTCCTCCTCTCCCGCCCCCACTCCCCACGCCCCCACTTTCATTCATTACTTGCCTTCTTCGCCTTTGCTCCCCAAAAAGACAGTAAATATTTTATCACCCTGCATTCTCCTCCCCTCTTTATGTTGCCTCCTGCCCCTCTATTCCTTCCAAATTCCTACATGCCTTTGTCTCTCTCTCCCCTCCCCTTTGCTCCTAACTGATTCCCCATTAATCATCTAGAAGACACATCTGCGTGGGTCGAGCAAGAGTCCTTGGCTGGTGTTCACAGCTGGGCTGATTGTGATCATCAAGAAGGGGTCTTTCATCTTTTCCTGTCTCCTAGGGCTCTCCTCTTCCCAGATCCTCCTCCTCCTCCAAGGTGGCCTACCAAGGCCCACTGTCTTCATTCTGGAAGGTTCTGCTCTCTCCCTCTGCAGAGAAGTCTCCCAAAGGCCAAATCATCTGGTAGACTGAAGCAGCCTTGCAGTGGTCATTTAAACTTGATGCTGGCAGTGGCAAAGATGTCAGAGTGCTCAGAAGCTGGCAGAAGGAAGGGTGGGCAGGGGATAGGGACCACCACAATAAATGAGGTCTCCCCCCTCCTTCTTGTACCTCCCTTGCTGCAGTATGGAATACATTACCCAGTCAGGATATCCCTTGGCATTCATTGTAACCTAATTTTATAAGGATTAAAATCGGGGTAGGGAAAGCCTGTGTAGTTTCTTAGAGGTCTAAGCATACTATCCAAAAACCAGACCGATCCAAGGAGTACATTCAGTTTAGTGTTTGATTGACGTGGCCTGGGAGTGGTGCCTGGTGCCTTCTCTACTGAGCATCGTAAAGGCTGCCATTTGTTATTTCTGTGATACTCGTTTCTGTTGGAAGAACGCCTTTGAAATCGTCTCTGCCCTTCTTGGGATCTCCAGGCGTTGATCAATGAGCAGCAGAGTCAGGGGCCGGCAGTCCCAGAACAGTATGCCCCGAGTGACAGGCCGACATTCCGAGTGACAGATGCAGGCTGGGAGGGGGTGCTCAGAGCGGGGCAGTAACACCAGCGCGCCTCCACTGGCCGCCGAGAGGACGGGGAACGGGGTCTCCCCAAAGGCCTAAGCACAAAGGGCCAACTTCACCCTCTGATCGGCGGACGGGGAACTTTAACGCCAGGTCAGTGACGATGTGAAATCTCTGCCGGGTGCGAAGTTGGCAATGCATACTTTATCCGAAAGGCACGGGAGGAAAAAGACAGGGTGGAGGGGGATACTGTTACTTTCATTTAAAAGTTTTTAATTCCGAAATTCCCCTGGGAAAACCTCGGGCATCTTCCCCCTGGAAAAGAAAAGGCGGGGGCGGGGCGTGGAGGGGCCGCATCTTTGGAGCTTACAACGACGTGCGGCGCTTACAGAGACCCCGCCTCTTCTAGGATGCAAACCCCTCCACGTCCCTACCCACCCGCTATCCCTGAAACAGCAGTCAGGCGCGGTGCCTTGAGAGAATTGTGTGCCCCTAAGCCGCACGCCGTAAGAAACCCGAACACACCCAAGCATCGAACTATAAATCGGTGCGCAGGCACCGCGCGCCAGGCGCGTCCCGGCGGCGCTCACCACAAGCGGGAACCGCGCCTTATCGAGACCATCTCACCCCGGAAGGGAAGTCCTCAAACTTGCAGGCTGCGGACAGGGCTGGCTCAAAGTTGCTGGAGCGGTTTTCGCCGCGTCGCGAGAACCGTGGCTGCCTCCGAGGTTCGGGCGCTTCCTAGTGAGCAGACCCGGGAGGAAGCCAATTCAGGGGGAAAAGAGCTGAAAACCCGAGCAGGACCCGAGCCGAGCTGGGGTTCGGGAGGCGCGGCCCGCCCCCAGGCGGCCTCCGGGAGCGGCTGGGACTTGGCAGTCCCGGAGCCGGCCGCCGGGGGCTCCTACCCCCATTTCCCAGCCCACCCAATTCACCCCACCCCAGAGACACACGGCCTGCGGGTGACCTGCCCCCACTCCCCGGCCAGCACCACCCCACCCCACCCCAGCCGTGCGAAGGCAGAGAGCGAAGAAAGACAGGAAAGCCCGTGGAGGGCAGGGCGCAGAGCCCAGGGTCCCCGGGGAAGCCCCGATCTCGCCGGGACCCCAGGGCCCGGGCCGGCTCGGTTGGGGGCAGGGGAGGAGGCCGGCGGTGGGGCCAGGCCGCGGCGCGGCGGCTGGCAGGCGCGGCCCCTTTAAGGCTCTCTCCGCCCACCGGCGGCGCCGGGCGCTCTCCCCGCCCCGGGGTCCCGGCGAGATCGGCGATTGGGCGGGCGCGGCGATCCCTTTGAAGTGTGGCTGCCGATCGCGGCTATTTGACGTGCGGCTCGCGGAAGGCGAAGGTTTTTGTGTTGCTCGCCGGGGCCAGCGGTCGCGGCGGCGGCGGCGGCGGCGGCGGAGGAGGAGGAGGGGTGGAGACGCGGCGACCGCTGCACCGCGCTCGGCGCTGCGGAGCGAGCCCACCCGCCCCGGGAGCTCGCCTCCCCGGTGCGCCCCCGCCCTCCCCGCCCCCCCAGCGGCGCTGCCTCCTCCAAATGAGCGATTCGCCCGCTGGATCTAACCCAAGGACACCCGAGAGCAGCGGCAGCGGCAGCGGCGGCGGCGGGAAGAGGCCGGCGGCGGTGTCCCTCTTGCCCCCGGCGGACCCCCTGCGCCAGGCGAACCGGCTTCCCATCCGGGTCCTGAAGATGCTGAGCGCTCACACCGGCCACCTCCTGCACCCGGAGTACCTGCAGCCGCTGTCCTCCACGCCCGTGAGCCCCATCGAGGTCAGTCCCCTGGTCGCTGCCCGCCGAGCGCCCGCCCCATTCCTCCCACCACTGCCCGGCTCCCTGCGCCCCGCGGCTCGGTGCGACGCTCGGGTCCGGCCCCACTGGCGGACGGAGTGAGAGGAGGGACGGAGATACAGAGGGATCGGAGCCCACTGGGTTCTGCCCCCGGGCTTCCCCCGGGGGAGAAGTTTCCCCTTCCACGCTGGCCCTTCGGAGCTTCGCGTTTCCTCTCTCGGATTGGATTTGCTCTCGGAGTGTGCGCTGGGCCCTTTACTCTTCCTCGGCACCCAGTCCCCAGGCCAGAGAGTCTGTCTCCTGGGCTTTTATCGGCCCCCCACCCCCACCTTCCCACCCGGGTTTGTTCTCTTTGAAGCCCGATCGCCCCCCCACCCCCACCCCCGTCCCACTCCGCTTCTGCCCTATCCGGTTGGAGCGCACGACGCCCGGGCACTCCCGACCCCGGCTCCTTCTTCCTCCCGCTCGCCTGGAGGCCCTCCCCAGGAGGTAGGGGGGCTCCGAAGAGAGCGCCCGCGGAGGCCCAGGCTCAAGAACCAGCTTCTCCCCGCTCCTACCCCGCGGCGCCGCCGCCAGAAACCCGTCCCAAGCGAAGTTCCCCAAACTGAAGGCATAAGTTTTTAACCCGGGCCTAGAGAGGAGAAGATGAGAGAGCAGGGGGCGAGTCACGGCCCCTCCCCCAGCCCTGAGTCCAGAGAAGTCACCTTCCCCCGGGGTGGCCTTCGGTGGACGCCTTCCACGGCCCGTTCCCCAGGGCCTGCGGCGCCCTCCGAGAGCCAGGGGAGCGAGGGATCCCACCACTACCGAGGCGCAGTGTGAGCGCAGTTGCGCCCAGGCCCCGCGCTCGCAGCCCCTCTCCCTAAGGCCCTCCTTTCCCACCGCACCCACCCTACCCCCCAGACGCCCCCTTCCCCGGCCGCTCTGTGGGTGTCTGGTCTCATCCCCTTCTCCCTCCCCTTGCCGCTGTCTCCCACAGCTGGACGCCAAGAAGAGTCCTTTGGCGTTGCTGGCCCAGACTTGCTCGCAGATCGGCAAGCCGGACCCGCCGCCCTCGTCCAAGCTCAACTCGGTAGCGGCGGCCAACGCGCTGGGAGCGGAAAAGGACCCGGGCCGCTCGGCCTCGGGCGCCGCCTCGGCCTCTGCGGCGCTCAAGCAGCTGGGGGACTCCCCGGCCGAGGACAAGTCCAGCTTCAAGCCCTACTCCAAGGGCTCCGGGGGCGGCGACTCCCGCAAGGACAGCGGCTCCTCCTCCGTGTCCTCCAGCTCCTCCAGCTCCTCCTCCTTGTCCCCGGGAGACAAGGCGGGCTTCAGGGTGCCCAGCGCCGCCTGCACGCCCTTCCCCCCGCATGGAGCGCCGGTCTCGGCTTCCTCGTCCTCGTCCTCTCCTGGCGGTTCCCGGGGCGGCTCCCCGCACCACTCTGACTGCAAGACCGGGGCCAGCGGGGAGCTGGACAAGAAAGACCAGGAGTCCAAGCCCAGCCCGGAGCCGGCGGCCGTGAGCCGCGGCAGCAGCGGGGACCCCGGCACGCACGGCGGTGGTGGCGGCGGCGGCGAGCCCGGGGCCTCCGGGCGCAAGTCGGAGCCGCCCTCTGCGCTGGTGGGGGCCGGCCACGTGGCGCCGGTGTCGCCCTACAAGCCGGGCCACTCGGTGTTCCCTCTGCCTCCCTCCAGCATCGGCTACCACGGCTCCATCGTGGGTGCCTACGCCGGCTACCCGTCTCAGTTCGTGCCTGGCCTGGATCCCAGCAAGTCTGGCCTCGTGGGAGGCCAGCTGTCGGGGGGCCTGGGCCTGCCGCCGGGCAAGCCCCCCAGCTCCAGCCCGCTGACCGGGGCCTCCCCGCCGTCCTTCCTGCAGGGATTATGCCGAGACCCCTACTGCCTGGGAGGTTACCACGGCGCCTCGCACCTCGGCGGCTCGGGCTGCTCCACGTGCAGCGCGCACGACCCGGCCGGGCCCGGCCTGAAGGCGGGGGGCTACCCGCTGGTGTACCCGGGGCACCCGCTGCAGCCGGCCGCGCTCTCGTCCAGCGCCGCCCAGGCGGCACTCCCCGGCCACCCGCTCTACACCTACGGCTTCATGCTGCAGAACGAACCGCTGCCCCACAGCTGCAACTGGGTGGCGGCCAGCGGGCCCTGCGACAAGCGCTTCGCCACCTCGGAGGAGCTGCTCAGCCACCTGCGGACTCACACGGCCCTGCCCGGCGCCGAGAAACTTCTGGCCGCCTACCCGGGGGCCTCGGGCCTGGGCAGTGCCGCCGCAGCCGCCGCCTCCTGCCACCTGCACCTGCCCCCGCCCGCCGCCCCCGGCAGCCCGGGGTCGCTGTCCTTGAGGAGTCCACACACTTTGGGGCTAAGCCGGTACCACCCGTACGGCAAGAGCCACTTGTCCACAGCCGGGGGGCTGGCCGTGCCGTCGCTGCCCACAGCCGGACCCTACTACTCACCGTACGCGCTGTACGGACAGAGACTGGCCTCCGCCTCGGCGCTCGGGTACCAGTAACCACAGCCCTGCCTCCTCCCCGCGCCCTCCCGCCCCACCCGCCGCCGCTGCAGCCCCCCGCCGCCTGCCCCCGCCGCCGGAACCCCCCTCCCACCGCCCAGATCCCTCCCCTCCCCACCGGACTGTGTATTTATTTACTATAATGTTAGCTTACAAGCTGGGAATATAAGTGCATTAACGACCCACACGAGTCAATGGTATGCAAAGAGTCTGTTCGCCCCTCCCCTCCCCCGAATAATAATATTAATCACACCAGTAACTACATGCCCCCCCCGCCCCCCTCTGCCTTTCTTTTCTGTTTTATTTTTTCTTAGATGTAAGTTTGCATTTTTTTTTTTTTTTTGATTGGTTTGGTTTTACCCGGAGGAGGGGGGAGCGTGGTAGCTTCTTTTTGTTTTCCCTCCGGGGGGACTTGCTTGCATGCTTCCTAACGTTCAAACTACGTTTCCTCCTCCCTGCCCCGCCCCTCTGCCCTTCATTCCTTCTTGTTTCCGTCCATTCGAGGTTCTGGTTTGTTGTTGGATTTTTTTTTTTTTTTCCTTTGTACAAGTAACAGAGAGGAGGTATTTTTTTGTAACGCATTTGGGGTTGTTGGGAGCGATCTTGGGGGCCGGAGGTCTTGAGCTCTGTGAACCCAGGACTCTGCCCTGTGACCCCTCCTGCCACTCCGTGTCCCCTGGGCTCCTTGGTCTGCACCCTGGTCCCCCAAATTAGAGCCTTGCTCCCCTATCTTGCTCTGAGCACGAGTCAGTGGCTGGAGAGTCTTAAGTAGCCTTTCCCCTTTCCACACTCTGAAAGGCCCCAAACACCCGGGGGTGGTCGCACTGCCTGCTGGAGAGGGTGGTCGGCAGGGCTCATCTCATTCAAGTGAAAGTCCTAGAAGGCCCCGTGGCGTGAAACTTTGCTCTTTATAGTTTGCGAAGTGTTTTTATAGTTATTGTTTTTCTCTGATAATTGGAGCAGGGGTCCCTGTCCTGGCGATGGGGGCTGGGTCGGTGATTCTTGCTAGATCCTTCCAAAGCAGACCAGTGGCAGTATCAGCTGGCAATACAACCCTGTTAGCACCGTTGGGGGGTGTGGGAGGGGAGTCAGGGAGCACATGGATCACAGCAGAACCCCGTCACCCCTTCCCAGGCCTGACCCAAGAGTCCCCAGAGTTGGCCGTGGGCTCCCTCAGTTACTGGGATCGAAGACTCGGCGCTGGGTCTTCTCCCAACCCCCTCCCTCCCACCCTCTGGGCCTGATGCAGGGGGCTGCGGGGCCGTTTGAGATGAATAGAGCTCTCCCTTGGTAAGACTTATTTTGTTAATAAATGGAGTACTTGGCTATATTCACACCGTGGTGTGTTTCTGTCTTGCCTCACCCACCGGCCCACTTCCAGACACCTAAGCAGATGCCCTTCTTTTATTCTCGTTGAAAACACCTTATGGTTTCCTTCTCGGATTTCCGTTCAAGGACGAGTTTAATGCGTTTTCTCAAGAAAGGGGGGGAGGAAGGGGAATGAGGGGCGGGGGTAGGGGGAGAGAAAACAAAACTGCCAGCGCGTTACAAATAATAAAAAGCCCCCCCCCCCTTTTTTTTCCATCTCGGTTATTTAGCTCTCACTTCAAAGGCCTTGATATCATCTGGGGACGGGGCGGAGGGAGTGTGTGCATGAGGACTTCTCCTCTAGACGAGGGCGTAGATTCGAGGCTCAAGGGGCGGAGAAGGGACCCAGGACCTGGGGCTCGGAGACTCGGCAGCACCGTCCCCGGGCCCTGCGGGCCGGCGAAGACGACGTGCCTCTGGCGCCACCTGGTGGCAGAAAGGCGAGCGACTGGCGCCCGCCGCAAACACCTTATGCGCTTCGCACTCAAAAAAGGATTGGCTTTCCCTGGCAGTGCCTTTCAAGCACCTTGAAGTCCAAGTGTGCACGCACCTGCCGCGAAGGGCGCGTCTCACGGCTTGGGGACTCCCTGAGCCTAGCGCTGGGTTGTGGACCCCAGCCGTCTGAGCCCCCAGTTTGGGTTTTGCGGAGAAGGCGAGGCGATGACTCGGCACATGGAAGCCACCCTCGGTTTCCCCGTTTTCTTGAGCTGACACGATCCATACTGGCTTCTGTATCCTTGAGCAGACGACAGCGGGGGTGCTGTTTTTCAGGATGATGGGGAAAGGGCCGGAGCACCGCTCTACTGCGCTGGGAGTCTCCGGGGTCCGGAGGAGGGGACCATGGGGGCCCCCGGGGCCTGCGCGTCTTCCCTGGGGCTTTCTCGTTCCCACCCCACCCTCCCTGGGGCAGGGGGCGCCCCTTGAGGCTGGCCCCTCTCAAGTTCCCGGTGCAGGACGCCCGGCGCCCACCTCTAGGGGTGCAGCGCGCCACGGCGCTCGGGTGCTCGGCCTCCTGCGCCTAGGGCGCGCGAAGCCACCTGTTGGGCGCGCTGAAAAATGCGCCCCCTCGCCCCCTCCGAGCCGCGCTCCTCTGCGTCAGGCGCCTGGCAGCTTTAGGAGTTGCTGTTGTTGCCATTCCTGTTGTTTTGCCTGACGTTCTCGGTGAGGAATGCGACTTTAGCGCAATTCCTGCTCCGCAAACTGTGTGCTTTGGAAACGTCCGGAGACCCAGAGATCAGGTGCGGAAGGGGGTGCTCTCTCTGCGCTGATTCAGCCCACAAATGGCCCCAAACTCCTTTAGAGAATCACAGGGTGGGTCTTGGCCTCATCTGGCGTCATCCCCTCCGGATTTGACAGAACTTCAGCATAAGATGTTTCGTGGGGTTTGGGACTTGAGGGGCTGCCCCTATAGCTTTGTTTCTGAGCAAAATTCCTTCCCTAGTCAAGAGAACCTCAGTCATCTTCTGCATAAAATAGTATTCCTGGAGTAAGATCCTATATATGTCCCCAGGGAAGGAACCCGGTCTGCTGGCATCCTTGCCCACAGTGATAAACAGGGTCAGGGAGAGGCTGGAGGCGCTGAAGAAGTTGCCCCTGAGGGCAGCTCAGAGTCTTCCTGGGGGACCATTCTTACGGGACTTCTCAGAGTTCAAATTGGCCCCAAGCTTCAAAGAAACTGAACTGTAGCGACTTGCTTTATTTTTTCTTCATCTCTGTTGTTTTGTTTGCTCTTGGTTAATTTCTTTCCCATCTTCCCTTCCTCCCAAATCTCCCTCTTTCTTTCAGATACATTTGTTTGTTTGTTTGTTTGTTTCTAATGCCTGCTAAAACTGCTGGACATGCTCCCTCTGCAGGGGAACTTAAAACTTTTCTCTTAAACTATGGTCAGGGGCTTCCCTGACAGGTGGCTCAGTCAAGAATCTGCCTGCAATGCAAGAGACCTGGGTTCGATCCTTGGGTCGAGAAGATTCCCCTGGAGTAGGAAATGGCAACCACTCCAGTGTTCTTGCCTGGAGAATTCCATGGGCAGAGGAACCTGGTGGGCTACAGTCCATGGGGTTGCAAAGAGTCGGACACAACTGAGCAGCTAACACTATGGTCTTCAGACCTTACTAAGGACCACAGGCTCCCCTTGTTGGGACAGGAGAAAGGAAGAGACTTGGTATCTCTCCATAGAGGGAAAGAAAGTTCTCTCCAGGTGCTTGGCTTACACTAAAGGTGTGAGTATGCACGTTAGAAACTCCTCAGAGGAGGGGGTTTCCCCCAGAAAATGTATCATCGGCTTTTGCAGACCAGAGAGGATGCCTTTGGCCTGATTGGAAGAGGCTGGTGCCAGCTGCCCTTGTGACTCGAAGGGCAGGCAGGCATTGTAGCCTGGAGTGCCCCAGGTTTCGCCCTCCGACGTCAGCTCTCCCCACCATAAAAGGGTGAGGGTCCCAAGACATGTGGCTGTTTTCATTCACTGGGGCTGGGGGGTGGCGTGTGGGGGGGGTGTTACTTGCAGGAGCTACATTCTCAAGAAACAAAGTTGCTGTTTTCATAGCGATAATGCTGCCCACCAGCTGCTCATTTGCATAATTAATTCATCTGGCAACTCTGTGCTCCAGCATCACCTCCACCTTCCATCGCTCCACCTCCTCCTCTCCCTAGCCCTCCTCCTGCCCCTCCTCCAAATCTCTTCCAGGCGCCAGAACCGGGGGCCTGTGTTCCCAAGCCACCGGGAAGGGTGACAGCCACACAGCTGGACCTTTAGACACTGGACGTTCCTGGCTCAGGGTCATAATTTCACACCTCCTGCCTGGTTATTTTTGTGGCCTCATGGACAGCAGGGAGAGGAAGAGAAGGTGGGGAGGCCTCACTCACCCTCAGATATTGCTAAACAGAATTGCGGGGGGGGGTGTTTTAACTTCCCACTCACCCCTCAAACCCATCCTCAGAGAATCTGCAGCCCACAGGGGAGGTGTGGGGTGCAGGGGCCTCCATCCCCTGCAGCCCTAGCTGCCCTGGCCTCTCCAGCATCTTGGGATGTGTCTCTCAGTACATGAACTCACCCCTTCCTGATGGATGTCTGGGTTGCCGTGGAATCCGTCTTCCAATAATGCCGCGACTCTGTCCTGTATTAATCATTCTGCAGGGGAAGCTGCACTCCAGTTTTCTGTTTGACTTGATTTCATTCATCCTGTCTTTTTGCGAAATAGATGGTTGAGTGCATCCGATAATGTATGGTTTAATTTGGAGCACTATGGGTTTGAATTACCATTTTCATAATGCGCTGTGCATTAATGTGTTACATCATTTATAAAGAGGAATGTCCCAGGTTTCAAACTTTCCTCCTGAAAGCCAAAGTCACCTCACGGAAACAAAGCCAGATCACATGGACCTAGCTCCTCGCCTGGCTGCCTCCTCCCCAAGCCAGGTGAAACCTGCCAACCCCTCCCTGCCAAAACCCCACCCCCGCCCCCTGAGGCTTTTGTGTCCACAGAACGCAGGTGGGTGTCAAAGTCTGGGGAGGAACTTGCACAGGGCTGCCCAGGAGCCATCAATAGCAGCACAAAAGCTCCCCCTCATTATCGCATGGCAGCCCGGGCCCTTCGAGGAGACCTCCAGTGGTCGGCTCCCCCTCGACCCTAAACCCCACACCCCCTCCCCGATGGCCCGTAATAACACCAGCTGTCTGTTACTCAAACTCTGACTGAGGAGGAAAAAGCACTGATTATCCAAATACAGTCATTAAAGGGGAAATGTGTTTTTAGGACTGTCAGAGTGATTAATGAGAGCTAGCCGTCTTTGCAAATGCACTTGTTTAGTCTAACTGGCAGCTTCTATTTTCCTATTGATTTATTGCAGCCGTTGCCGGGCCTCGGTGTGTGCAGTCAGGGCACTTCACAACTGTGCCCTGTTTAAACAGGAAAAGCATGCACCGTTTTTTTGTCCGGGAGGGAGGGAGCAGCCGAAAGTCTCTCCCCTCAGCGCAGTCTCCAGGGCCCCAAACCAACAAAGAAGACATTAAAAACCTGCAGCCCAGAGAGAGAAGGAAACTGCCTCCCCTTGGTCGTCCCCAGTTCCAAGGTCAGCGGAGGCGCACCCTGGCCCCTGGACAAAGCCCGCCCTATTGTCAGACTCAGCATGCCCGCATCCTCTCCTCCGGTCCCCCCAAACCAGCTGTCAGCCATGGAGTCCAAGGACAGGAAAGGCACCCAGCAGAGGGGGGAGGCCGGGGAGGGGGCCGATGGGCTCAGCCAAGCTAAAAATAGAATCGAAGCCGCCCTGCCATCCAGCGGTGGGAACAAGGTCGGGGGGTTGCGGGAAATTGATGGAGCCCCATAGTTCATTTGGGGGCTTCCCTGGTGGCTCAGTGGTAAAGAAGCCGCCTGCCAATGCAGGAGACTCAGGTTCGATCCCTGGGACGGGAGGATCCCCTGGAGAAGGGAATGGCAACCCACTCCAGTATTCCTGCCTGGGAAATCCCATGGACAGAGGAGCCTGGCAGGCTACAGTCCATGGGGTCACAAAAGAGTCGGACACAACTTAGTAACCAAACCACCACAACATGGTTGATTTCAACTTTTAAAAAGTAGGCGGCGGACACAGGAGTGCTATTGACTTCATTCCACTTGCACAGTTTGTTTTGACAAATGATGTACCTAATGACCAGCACTGAAATGGCAGCTTGAAAATACAGGCCTGGTGTTGGAGAGTCTGACTTCCAGGAGGTGGATCACCAAGGCAAACAGAGGTTACAGGATTCCTGTTATGTGACCAGTGCAACGCCAGATGCCAGGAGACACAGAAGAAAACTCAGACCAGATTTCTGCCCAGTTTAGTTGGGGGAGACAAGACACAGCCACGAGATGAGGAATAAGATAGTATTCTATACTACTGCATTTATGCTGATCTAGTAAACATTCAGTTGTGCAGTGCAGACAGTGGGGAACTTGACCATTTATAATATGGGGCTAATTGTGCAGATCAGCGGTTGGGCTGCAGCAGCTGGAGGGAGAGCTTGCTGGGGCTCCCTTCCCATGGGAGCCCTGATCTGTTGGGAGGCTCCCCAGTTCCCCTCAGTCCTGTCCTCTTCTGAAAGCTGGAAGATGGATGAGGCCTTCATTCCATGGTGATGAGCAGGCTGAGCCAGAGCTCCAAGCCAGCAGTTCAAAGGACAAGCTCCCTGGAGTTCCCTGGGGGCCTAGTGGTTAGGATTTGGTGCTTTCACTGAAGAGGCCTGGATTCGATCCCTGGTCCGGGAACCAGCCCCTTGGAATACAAGGAACAGGCTTCCCTTAACCAGCTTGCACCTTCCAGACCTGGAAATGGTTTATGCTTCTTCCTAGATGAAGTGCCTTTATAAGTTTTCCCAGGGGCAGTGGCCTATCACCAGCTTTATTAACACTTCCCAAGACAAGGAAAAGCTGTTGGTGGGTTTGGATCACAGAGGCGCTGGGAAACCTCTTAAGAGAAAAGAAACGGAAACTGCCAGCTGAGTGGAAATGAAGCAACTATATGATTCAAAACGGAGACCCAGGCTGTGAGTGTCCTCTGGTAACTTGAGGGGGCAGATGAAAGACTCTCCCCTCAGTGCAGTCTCCAGGGCCCCAAACCAACAAAGAAGACATTCAAAACCTGCAGTCCAGAGAGAGAAGGAAACTGCCTCCCCTTGGTCGTCCCCAGATCCAAGGTCAGCGGAGGCGCACCCTGGCCCCTGGTAAGTCCAGAAAGTGTAGTCATCATACATATAGTTAGAAAGAGCACTGAAGCAGGGGCCAGAAAACCTGGATTTTGCTCTGGTTCTGAAACTTATTGCTGTATGACCTTGGAGAAGTTACTTAATCTCTCTGAGTCTCTTTTTTCCCATTTCTGAAGTGCAACTGTTGGTCCTTATCATCTTTCAGCATTTTTTTAATCATGAAGCATTTTATTTTATTTATTTTTAGTTGAAGTATA